CTACCATGCCCAGCTAATTTTTTGATTTATTGTAGAGATGAGGTCTCGCCAAGTTGCCCAGGCGGGTCTCGAACCCATGGGTTCAGGCAGTCCACTCACCTCAGCCTCCCAAAGCGTGGGATTGCAGGCTGAACCACTGAACCCGGCTAAACACCAAGTTTCAAACAATCACCTTTCTTACCAAACCCTTACCTTTCATTTCCCCAAGTACTAACAACCAAAATTATAATATCACAACAAGCAGCTTTAGCCTATTACAAAAGTTTCTCCTTTGATCATAATTATCTCTTGGATATAACCAAGTTGATAGATTGGGAATGGGTTACAGTTTGTTTTGAGAAAGAGTTTTTTGGGGAAAGGGGAACTTGTTTTAATTTTTAGACATAGTATATTCTTAATTCTTCTTCATTGTAGCAAACAAAAGTTCTGAAATAGGATAACCAAGGAAGCTGGTTGTAAAACTCTGCCTTGCTTCCAAGTCCAGCTGTGTTTTTATTAGATATAACCTCTGGCTGTCCTCAGAGGTTATTATCCATAACTTGCTTTTCTCCTTTTTCATTTTCTCCATAGCTCTGAGAGCTCATTTCGAAGAAATTATGGATGAACCATCTCCCTTGGCCAAACCTCTGGAGCTGAACCAGCACTCCAGATTCATAATTGGTTCCGTGTCTGAAGATAATTCAGAGGATGAGATCAGCAATCTGGTGAAGCTGGACCTACTTGAGGAAAAGGAGGGTTCTCTGTCACCTGCTTCTGTTGGCTCAGATACGCTCTCTGATTTGGGAATCTCTAGCCTACAGGATGGCTTGGCATTACACATAAGGTAAAAAAGAGAAATTTAATGGTTTACTTAGTTAATCTCCCATAGCTTCACTAATTATATTACGAAAAGAGCAATAATAATTTTGGCCAGCTGGGTGCAATGGCTCATGCTTGTAATCCCAGCACTTTGGGAGGTGGAGGCAAGAGGATTGCCTGAACCCATGGGTTCAAGACGAGCTGGGCAAAATGGTGAGATCTCATCTCTACAATAAATTAAAAACTTAGCTGGGCATGATGGTGCATGCCTGTAATTCCAGCTACTTGCAAGACTGAGGCACTAGGATTGCCTGAGCCCAGCAGGTCTAGGCTATGGTGGCCATGAGTTTGTCACTGTACTCCAGCCTGGACGACAGAGTGAGACATGACTCAAAAAAAAAAATTTTTTTTTTACCAAGATTGTTTTACCTCTTCCTATGTTACTGGACTCAAAGCTTTGTTGAGTGAGAAATGATGTCTTTTTTGGGGTTTGGAAGTGTTTTTTCCTAAATGTTTCCCTCAGGTTTTCCCTCTTCTTCCCATTTCCTAGGTCTTTTTGAGTCAGAATCTCACTCTATCACCCAGCCTGGAGTGCAGTGGCATGTTCATGGTTACCACAGCCTCGAACTGCTGGGCTCAGGCGATCCTTTCACCTCAGCCTTTCAAGTAGCTGGGACTATAGATATGTGTCACCATGCACGACATATTTTTTGATTTATTGTAGAGATGAGGTCTCGCCAAGTTGCCCAGGCTGTTCTCTAATCCCCGGGCTCAGGCAGTTCTCTGCCTTCCAAAGTGCTGGGATTACAGGTATGAGCCATGAGCCATGAGCCATCATGCCTGGCCTTTTTTTTTAGTTAGGGTCTCACTTTGTTATCCAGGCTGGAGTGCGTTGGCATCATCACACCTCAGCTCAGCCTCGGTCTTCTGGGCTCAGGTGATCCTTCTGCCTCTGCCTCCTGAGTAGCTGGGACCACATGTGTGTGCCACAATGCCTGGGTAATTTTTTTTTGTAGTGACGAGGTCTCACTATATTACCTAGGCTGGTCTTAAACTCCTGGGCTGAAGCAATTCTCTTACCTTTGTCCCCTAATGTGCTGGTATTGTAGATGTGAGTCACTGCGACTGGCCCACCGAGGGTGTTTTAGTAATACCTACTGAGTAAGAATTAGGTTGAGGAATTTCAGTCTCTGTACTATCTTGACTAACATTGTTGTAAATATTTTGGTGATTGATAGGAATTCTGCTGTAGTAGACAAACTTGTAGTAATCTTTTTTTAAGCTGCTTCATTATATCAGGAAGTTATTCCATTTCTACCAGAGCCAGTTCTCAATAAAGTGATGGAATATGGATAAGGGGTTGTTAATAGAACTCTTTTTCTCTAGAAACACAATTTTTTATCATTGGAAAATGTCAGTAAATAGTAATACTAGGTTATTTTTATTTACTAATATTTGATTACATAACCAAGGTGTAAGATGCTAACCTTTGGGCATTTGCTTGGCAATTCTTGCATTAAAAGATCTGGATCAGTGGTTCTTGGTTCTTACTGTTCATCAGAATCACTTGAGGGAGCTCTAAGAAATAAGCCCATCCCAGAGATTGATTCATTTTGTATTGGCTTACTTGGAACTGGGGCTTTTTTTTAGTTTTTAAAGCTATCCAGGTGAGTCTAATACACAGAATTGAGATTACAGGTCTAGCCTAGATAAACATAAGTTAGAGTGGCCTTTCTTGCTGTTATTATCTTGGTGCTCCTATTATTAATGGATTATAAAATAATTCAGCTTCCTTTTATACACTCAAGATACTGACTCTTCATAGAGTCCCATATCAGATCTAGCTGGATATGACTGTGTGCCTTATTGGTATCCCTGGGGCTTGGGGTCCTAATTTCTGAGAGATGAGGTTGTGCTTGTTTGTGGTCATCACCATTGAACTAGGTGAACATCAAAAAGAAAGAGTAAAGTAAGTTAATTATGTTTTACTTCACAGAATTCTAGAAATGCAATATACAAGATAGATAATTTAGCCTAATACTTTTTTGGGGGTGGGGCAGAGTCCCACTCTGTTGCCCAGGCTAGAATGCTGTGGCATGATCACAGTTAACTGCAGCCTTTACCTCTTGGGGTTAGGCGATCTTCCGCCCCAGCCTTCTAAGTAGTTGGGACTACAGGCACGTACCTCTACTACTGGCTAGTTTTTTATTTTTTTGTAGAGATGAAGTCTCTCTATGTTGTCCAGGCTAGCATAATACCTTTTTTTTTTTTCCTTTAATGAGTTGGAGTCTCACTCTGTTCCTCAGGCTGGAGTACAGTGGCACACTCACAGCCACCATAACCTCAAACTGCTGGGCTCAGTCAGTCCTTCTGCCTCAGCCTTCCAAGTAGCTAGACCACAGGTGCACGCTACCATACTCAGTTAGTTAATTATTTTATTTATTGTAGAGACAAGGTCTCGCCAAGTGTCTAGGCTGGTCCCAAACCTGTGGGCTCAGGCAGTCCTTTCACCTCCACCTCCCTAAGTGCTGGGATTACAGTTGTGAGCTACTATACCCTGCTTAATGCTTTTTAATAGGTGAGAAAACTGGGGCCTGATGGAGAGAACCTGCCTAAGATTGTATAGCCAGAAATTAGAATTCAAACTCAGATATCTTGATTCCATTTCAGTAACTTTTTCTACTCTACTTCACTGGCCATACAAATGTCTTAATTATATAACTAGCTCAAAGTTGGTTTTATGGAGTTAATAAACAAAATATTATTTCTGGATTAAAAAGAATAGGCCAGAAGTAGTGGCTCAAGCCTGTAATCCCGGCACTTTGGGAGGCCGAGGCAAAAGGATTGCCTGAAATCAGGGTTTCGAAAACAGCCTGGGCAACTTGGTGAGACCTCATCTCTACAGTAAATCAAAAAAATTAGTCAGGAGTGGTAGCTCATACCTGTAGTTCCAGCTACTTGGAAGGATGAGGCAGAAGGATCGCCTGAGCCCAGTAGGTCGAGGCTACCATGGCTGTGAGCATGCCACTGTACTCCCGTCTGGGTGACAGAGTGAGACTCCAACTCAAAACAAACAAACAAATAAAAGAAGAATAGAGGGCAGTTTTTAGTGACAGGAAAAAGGGATTAGGTCTTTATGTAAACTTTTTTTATTGCTTCATAGTTCACTTAATGATTGACTCTAAAGGCTAATACTGGTGTTGGTATCTTACCTCTCAAGATCATTTGGAAGTATGTGGTGGTTGTGACTGGTGAGACTACTTGCATTTAGAGGACAGAGGACCAATGATACTAAACCTTCTTCGGTGTAGTGGATAATTCTTTCTCAACAGGGGCCCTATGATGTTTTGAGAACTGTCCTGTTGAGAAAGACTAGGTTACCTCCAAATCCATGAAACCACAGGGCATCTTGAGAAATTGGTGACTATAAATTTGAGACTGTGTGTGAAACATAACATCCATTTGTTGGATTAGGAAACTGAGTTTGGCAATGGTGAGATAAAAGCCATTATAGGAAATTCAGCTGATGATATCACAAGGCAGTTTGTAGTTGCCAGTCCATTCCCAAAGTTGATGGCTCTTATGCAAAGACTGTTTGGTCAGTGGCATGAGTGCCTGAGAATTTCATTGCATACCTTACAGTTGCAAAACTCATGTCCATAGCTTGTGGAGGAAACATGGTTTGAAGTGTGATCAGCAGCCTGAAAAGGAAACAGTGCCAGTTCCCACCCACTTCTCAGTTAGCCAATGTTCCAAAATAGAACAAAAGTTTTCCGTTGATCCATTCGTTAAGTCACTTGTGGATATGGTGACCTTTGGATACTTAAATTGAGTCAAATTCATTTGATTGTAGAAAGAACTCTGCTATTACATCTGCCACAAATTAGGTGTGTGACCATAGACAATTCATGCTATCTCCTTGAACTCATTTTCCTCATGCATAAGAATGAAATTATTGATTCAGGCATTCCTTTTCACTCTTTGAATCAAGTTTAAGTATAGACTAGTTGAGTTTAGGATCAGCTTTTAGGACAGATAGCCTAATTGTGAAGGCATAGGTGATATAGATTAAGGGGGCAGGTACATTGCTAAGTGATGTTAACTAGAGGTCATCTGAAACTAAGCAAAGTTATTGCCATAGTATAAGATGAGCGTGGGTCTCTTTCTTAAATTGAAGGCTTGGTTTTAGGTGCTAATTGAGAAGTCTAGTGATATGATGGATGAAGAGGAATAAAAAAAGACTTTCCGGCCGGGTTTGGTGACTGAACCTGTAATCCCAGCACTTTGGGAGACTGAGGCGAGTGGATTGCCTGAGCCCATGGGTCCGAGACCCACCCACACAACTTGGTGGGACCTCGTCTCTACAATAAATCAAAAATTAGCTGGGCGTGGTAGTGCGTGCCTGTAATTCTGGCTACTTGGAAGGCTGAGGCAGAAGGATCGCTGGAGCCCAGCAGGTCGAGGCTGTGGTGGCTGGGAGTATGCCACTGCACTCCAGTCTGGGCAACAGAGTGAGACTCCAGCTCAAAAAAAAAAAAGAAAAGACTTTCCCAGGAAAAGAGATGACTTGTCATGTATTTTCTAGAGTCCAATGAAAGACTGGGTGAATTATTTTGTAAGGTTTATGACACAAACATTGGAAAACAAGACCCTAAGAAAGTAGTTATAGCTTGGTAGGAATATACAGGCCTTATTGTAGATAACTATTTTTATTTTATTTTTTATTTTTTTTAATTGGAGTCTCACTCTGTTGCCCAGGCTGTAGTACAGTGGCACGCTCACGGCCACCGCAACCTTGACCAGCTGGGTACAGGTGATCCTTCTGCCTCAGCCTTCCATGTAGCCATAACTACAGGCACGTGCTACCATACCTGGCTAATTTTTTATTTATTGTAGAGATGAGGTCTCGCCAAGTTGCCCGGGTTGGTCTTGAACCCATGGGCTCAGGCAATTCATTCGCCTTGGCCTCCCAAAGTGCTGGGATTACAGACTGAGCCACCAAGCCTGGCCGCTTTTTATTTTGAG